GTGATCTGCAACATAGAATTGCAAAGGAGGTATATTACTATGATTCAAGTTATTCATACCAAAAATGTAGAATATGTGTACATTATTATTCAAGGCCTGGTCATGTTTTCATTTCAGGCTAGAGGAAATGCAATTTTACAAGCAAGCTTAGAGAGAAGGAAGCAAGCTTTGCATGAGCGGCGTTTGGCACTTGAACAAGATGTACTCTTCTCTGATATATCCATGCCTGTCTGGTGAATTTTGAATGCTTGAATATGATTTGCTGGCTTTTCTGCGCTTTCCTGGCATATGTTTGATACCCTTAACTATTCTTGACAAAAGTTTATCAGCGTTTTTGTTTTTTGTTTATTCAAAGTTCCTATATACTAATTTGTCCAAATTTGTTTTAGTTATCATTCCCCCTTCAGAAATTATGTTTGGCAGTCCGGCAAAAAAACAAAAAATTATGTTTGCCAGGAGTGCAGGATAGATGGAAATTGCTATACTTACCTTCGGAGTCTAGTCTTTGTATTTTCTTTTCCTAATCAATTTTATCATTTTCCTATTGTGCTGCTTATAGAATTCCAGTCCTAGGAACTGGAAAGTGACTGTTGCAAATGATGTCTTGTGAATTGTTCATTGTGTGACTAGTCTATGAAATGTTTTTGTGGCTCTTAAAGAAAGTGGTTCTTGCCCCTGAACAGGGATCTCATACTACCTTGTCCCTGTTAGAGTCATTTGCGATTTCAGTCCTCAAAAAAGAGTCATTTGCGACTGCTTATTTTTTCCCATATCCTTGTTTTGATTTCTCCCTATTTCTATTTCCTATGCTCTCGCACCACCTTGCTGTCGTTTCTAGCCTTCCATTCTTTCTAGTTTTCTGTGGATGCATGCTGCTACGTGTCTCTCTTTTTTTAATCCACGCAAGATCTGATTGATTTGTAACAATAAAGGTTTCAAGGTTGCAAGAGCAATTGCAAGCTGAGAGGGATCTTAGAGCTGCATTAGAAGTTGGTTTGAGCATGTCTTCAGGACAGTTTTCAGACTCACGTGGAATGGATTCCAAGGTTTTTTTTTTCCCCCCCAGAAATTTATGCAGAGTTTGCTATTTTTTGTTGTTTAATGGCTTTTTCAGTACACATAATCTTATCAAATTTATTCATGTAAAGACGAGAGCTGAACTTGAGGAGATTGCACTTGCTGAAGCTGATGTGGCCAGGTTGAAGCAGAAAGTCGCAGAACTCCACCATCAGCTCAATCAGCAAAGACAGCACCACTATGGTTCACTTCTTGATGCATCTGAACGGTACCAACAGATCCAAAATCCTCCGCAGCAGTAAGTATCTAGAGTTGCGCTAACTTTTAAGTTTGTTTGGCATTGCTGGTTATGTTGAGAAGTTAACGGTGTTGAACAATATCTGAACCCATATTTTTCCATCTCCATGTAGACAAAAAATTAAAAGTCAGGATTCTATGCCATAAGAGTTTTTTTTTCCTTGTGGTAATTGCTGAGGAACTTTAAATTCATTTTAGTTGCACATGAACTTGACAATAGCCATTGTTAACTCATGGTATTGATGCTGGAAATGTTGCACGTGGTGTCAGAAAAAAAATTGCTTTTGGGGGGGGGGGGGGAAGGAAAGAGGAATAACACACTGACTATTCTCCTTGTTTTGTTGTAATATTTCAGCTTTCTTGGTTTCTTATTAAAGCGCATCTTTTCATGCATCACTTGCCAGCATGGATTAAATTCCATCACGCTTTTCTTCTAATTGATCTGTCATTTCTGAACCTGAAATCTATGCTCCATTTTCTCTAGGTTCTATGTAAATGAAAACTCTATAAACCTATCAACAACTACATCCTTCTGTATTTACGTATGTCTGACTTATGCAGGAGATTTCTTCAGCAAGATTTTGATACAACCCTTGCCTATTGTAATCATGAAAGGAAACAAAGGACTGAGGTATGTTTTAAAACTGTTACTCAAAATATGATTTTGGGGAAGCAAAGGAGCGGGAGCTTGCATACCTGATCAATTACTTTTTCTCCTAATTTCTATTCGTCCATTCTATCACTCCACATCTTCTTGCGTAAACATCTTCTGATCTATCTTTCTCTAGTCAACTCCTGCTTTTGTAGTTTTGTTAATGCAAATAATACTGTTGTTCTAATGAGCAACCTATTCTTATTGCAGAGTATTTCCTCCGCTCCTTTCTATAAGGGCCTGATAACTAATTTATGCGGTTTAAGAAAACAGTTAACATCAGCTAAAAGTAATAAATATGTAAAACAATGAACTTTTCTTCCAAGTATGCCCTTATCTATAAGGGGGTAAGTAAGAGAGAGATATAGAGTAATAATGAGAGAAAGTATGAAAGGATGTGTAGTATGTCAAGTTGTCAACCTTTTAATTAATGCAATATATAAAATTAATTAGGGGCAAAAATGGCAAAAACACATTAAATGTTCAGACAACTCCAATTAGGCTCTTATACAAAAGACCAAGGCAATTCAAATTTCAGGCTCTTGTAAAAAAGACCGGAGGGAGGAACTTATTTGTCACATCTGTGATTAACCATACAATTAGAATAGGTCCATAAGTTGTATTAATTATGGAAAATAGCAGTTTTTGTTTTTCACCACCACCCTCTGATTTTTATTGGAAAAATTGTCAAATTATGACAATGCAAAATAAGAATGTCTGCTTCTGTTCTAGCTACAGAGATAGCAAGTTCAATCCACTCAAATTGTAAAGCATGTTTATTTACTTCATCAACTATTCTTTGACTATTTTATGAAATTAGTTGTTAACAAGTTGGTAACTGGATATAAAGTTAAATATCCATACCTTAATGGACAATCTCGTTGAGGCTAACAAGTTGGTAACTACATGTAAAGCTAAATATCCATACCTTCAACTGATATGAGATTGGTAATAGTAAATAGTTCTTCCTCTTTCCAATCCACTCAAAAGCATAAGGAATTATTTCTTTGACGTCGAAAACTCAATATGGCGCACATCCTTGTGCTATATATCTGGTGAGACATCAATGTTTTTCTTCAATCACTTAAAGACGGGGATTTATGCCTTTCAATGTTCCATTGCTCTTTGCTTATAAACTGTTTTTACAGTTTTGAGTGGCCACGTTGATACATTTCATTTCAACAGGAGAATTCGTTGGGTGCGGAATGGAGAGGTGTAAAAGGACAAGCATTGACCTCTGATAATGGCAGTAGGCAGCCTTCTTGGAGGAGACCTGTAGACTCCAATAGTCCATGTGATTCTAAAAGTACCGAGGCATCAACAAGCATGTCTGTTGATGAGCTCTGTGCTGTTGATTCTACCTCATTGCCCTCCGCCTCAAGAGCAGCTGAGGTAAGAATTAAGATTAGGCAAATATGGCATTGCAAATTTTATTGACTTAACCTCTTTCATTGAATGGAATTTGTAAGTTGCAACTATAATGAATCTCTAATACTCGAGTGTTCTGGTCACGGAAGCTATCACCAATATTACAACCTCTGCTAAATCTTTTTCTGCTTACAAATGGTTAGGCGCTTATATGACATCAATGATTCCAGGTTACAGAATACGGCAGACATCCATCTGTTGCATCCTCAACCCTTGTAGAATTAACTACTCGTTTTGATTTCTTCAAGGAAAGGCGTTCCCAGTTGATGGAACAGCTCCATAACCTTGACTTGAACTATGGTTAGACAACTTAATTGTTGAAGTTGACGAGCCAAATTGATGCTTCATCAAGTCATCTGGGAAGAATTGTGCCGACCGTCTTGTATATTCTTCGACTCTTTGCACAGACACATATATGTTTGTTGTCTGTAGTCCTGTGTCATGTTTCTTGTTCTGTTTTCCTTTCTCTTTCAGTAGTGAAAAGTTCATTGGTGTTTGGATGAGGAAATCCTTTCTCTTGGCCATCAGGCTACTTTACTCTTCATTGCTAGTTTATTTCTTTTCTTATTATTAATTCCTTGTATCTTTAGGGAAGGGGTTGGAGGTTGGTGTAATTATTTGTTGGGTCAATAGCTGGGAGGCATCTTGTTGACTGAAACATCTACTGTGAGGAAATTTTAACCAACTTTCAGCAAGTTTCTTTATGCATAGTGGTATGTATTTGCCTGAATCTGTTTGTTAAACCATGATGATGTCAGCGAGGATTGGCTCAATGTTTGGTGACCCCTTGGGCTTAAATTATTATAGCTGATCCCACTTATCTGGGATCATTGCAAGAACATGAAAATTGTGACCTTTAAATCACTTTAAGCGTTGATATTCTAGAACTGTTTCAAGATCAATTTCAATTTAATTAGGTAAGCTCGAACGTCAATTTAACTATATTTTAGAAATTTTCTTTAGATGGATTTTTAAGCCGTTCACCCACGTATATAACATAGTTGAGAGGAACAAACTGAGTTAAATATCGTCCTCCATCTTTGACGAAAAACGCATGCCCTATAAAGTGGGTGTTCCGACAAGAAAAATGAACAAGTGTTACATTCCATTATAGGGTGGCACTATCAGTTATTGCGATTATAAGTTGATTGTTCCCAGTCTCCAACAAGCCGACAAGACCAATGATATGCTAAGAAACAGGGTTTTAATCAAGTAATCAAATTAAACGTTTATCTTTAAACAAAACAATTGTATGGAAGGCCATATTACATCAGCAGTGGGTGGACTCGTATGAGTCACTTTTCCAGTTTTCTGTTATATATTTCAATCGGTTCTATTGCCAAAAAAATTCACTAGTTATTATTCTAGAGTTGTCCAATCATAGCTATTATTTAGAACCATGAAGACAAGTTGTAAGGCAGGTAATACAAGAACGCTGGGGGCCTTTGCAACTCAACTAATACTAAGTAGGTCCTCTTAAAGTTTTCCTAACCATGAGGTGTGAGTTCGGTAAAAGACATGATGGTTGCACAAGTTATGATTTAAGCCCAAAAAAGGGGGTAGTATGAGAACTATTATTTGTTGTTACTAAGGGGCTCCTCATAGATGGAAGTGAAATATGAAGGTAACATCTTATCATTTGATGGGCAAACCAGCCAGGACAAAGTATAGTATGCCTGAAAACAATTCGTCGTTATATTCCTATAATGAATGCACTACAAGTACCAATAGAATACTGCGTACAGATAGATGCTTCTCCAAAGTTGTCTAGCTGGGATGGTAAGGTAATCGGAGTTACACAACTGACAACTGACAACTGACAACTGATCAATGAATCTTCCACTAGGCATGAAATACCAAAAGGAAGGGGGGGAGGAAGAGAGAGACAAAACAAGGAAAATAGCAAAACCAAACCAAAACTTCTCCCTTTCCATTTTCCTTTGCAGTATCATAGAAAAGTGACAATGATTTTCTTCCATCGCGATGCGAACTTAGAGAGTCAGGTCTCCATCTGTATGTTTTCTTTACATTCAGTTACAAGTGCACTTACGGCTACATTGTGATTAAGAGAATCTTTCCTTACACTGGCACTCGTCTACCTCTGTAGCGATCAAACAGCTGGAAAGTTGACAGAAAATAAGCAACCTCAGTTAGAACAATCCAAAAATTATGCACGCAAATCCAAAGGTTTCAGCTTGATACCTTATTGTGGAAAAACTTGCACATTCACATATCATTAAACAGTTAAGACAATAATTAACATCATTGTTTTCTTCTTGCTTCCACCATCAAGACAAAAATTCGTATAACACTAGCAAAGATAGGAGTTCTTCCCCCAAATATCAGGGGACCAACGCCGCCTTAATTCAGCCCATAGTGGCAACCAAAGCAAATTTGTATTAGAAAAATAAAAAAACACGTTTAGCTTCCTGTGTCGTGGGGAACTCCAGCTTAGCAATAGAGGGAATTCCTGAGGTAAATCCTGCATCCATATTATCTCTCAATATCATTTGCTGACTCATAAGCACTGTAATACCCATTGTTTTGACAACGGGGACAACAAACAAATGTTTGTTAACAATTAGTGCGCTGAAGTTGCAGGAGAAGAACACTGCATTTTTGGTAGCTTACACAATAAAGAGTGAGCGCACTGGACAACACCCAACTAAGCTGGCCAAACTAATTCACGTCAGTGTTGACAGAAGACCAAACACAGTTTTCTCTTAACTGAATTCACATCACTGAAGTAACGGCAAACTTGAGACTCTACAACTCCAATATTGTGAGACTATAGCTTGTCATTTAAGGTCAGCTTGTTCTTCACATTTGTGAAGGTCATTGTACCTGATCAATAGCAACTATATCTTTCCATATGACTTCCATAATAAGTCATGATTGTCAAAGCATAATGCCCATACTAGGTTAGCAGCAAAATAGGTAGAGGTGTTCAATTGTGTTCCGTCTCAACATCCCATTCCTGTCCCAGTCATTTTGGGACAGCATAGTCCCATCCCGAAAGACAAAAGCGAGACGGGACAACGGTTTAGGAACAGTAAGGGACGCGGGATGAGATGGGACGTGGGACAGGAGTATCTCGTCCTATATTATCTTTATTTTTAATTGCTATAAATTTATTTTATTTATCATTACAATAGTATTTTGGTAATGATATTTATCAAATGTTTTTTTTTTCATTTGTTTATAAGTTGTTTTGTATGAGTTGCATGACATTCATTGTGGTGAACATTTTAGGTTTGTTTATTTTTTGTTTCTCAAGATTACAAAAAATATTTTTTTGGCCATTGTTTTCTTATTTTTAATCTATTTTCTTCATATAGTTTTTATCATAAGTTTTTATACTTCATGTATAGTTAGTTTTCAAATTAGAAAAGTTAAAAAAAAAAAAAAAAAAGACGGGACATCGGGACATGATGCTATTGGGACGGAACGGGACACACGACAGAAAAGCTGTCGCGTCCCGTCCCATGAACACCCTTGAATTAACAGGGATGAATACAGTGCGATAACAAAATACTTATATGAAGGCCAAAAAATGATATGTAAAGACAATTCATCACACTAACATACCGATCTAACAAATGGTTGTTGAAACAACCAGCCGAGAATGGGAATCTTTTGCACGAAGACAGCTAATGTAGGCCAGAAACCACTGCAGAACATAATCAATCATTAGTTTCAACATTTAAATAAAGTAATAAACTCATTACAGCATAAAGTTTCTTTCAAATTCCAGCAAAACCTGAAGAGTACTATGAACCCATAAGCCTCCAGAATCATGCCCAGAATAGGCCATCCTAATATGAGAATAAGGAATCCAATGCCAAATGAAATTGTTCCCTACAAAACCAGCAAAAGAAAAATCATAGGATAGCGTAAAATAATTTCCATGAAGAGGGCAAGAAACATCAAGTGAAGGAAAAAGCAAATACAACAGAAAGGTACCTTGAAGTTACTCCGTTTCATGAAGAATTGTAAAGTTGATTTTAGTCCAATGGTCAAGGACACACCAGAAACAAAGAGGATCTGATTTGAGTGACACAAAAAATAACAAATCATTAGAAAAAGTGTCATTAAACGAAATAAAACAAAAGATCAACATAAACAAGAAACCTGTAATATCAGGAAACTTACATTTCCCATGGCTAGTAGTCCCTTGTCAAAGAAGAAGACAATCCCAAGGAATGAAAAGAATACACCAAAGCCAGTTAATCCTAATCCAATCTCTGTTCATGTGCCAATTTAATACATCAAATGAAATGTTAGGACCCTAGAAATTTTACATGTGAAACTGATGTAGCTAAATTCCAACACACAGATAGAAAAGTAACTTATCTACAGATAATATATTCTTCCACCAGCAAAGAAGAAACAAAACATGGACACTACTGTATGTTGCAAAATTAATTCAAATTTATGCTTCAATGATTCTAAGGTAACTAAATCTAAAAAGTTTTCTGCCTCCAAGAACTTGTAGAAAATCAATATGAAGCCCTGAAATACCCATACATGCGCTGTGAACATCTACTTCATGGGCAAATTAGCAGTTAGATGCCTTAGATATTGCAGTAACTTCTAAATAATGAAGGTCAATCATATTACATGAACATATACTAAGGGTGATTTCACGGAAGTCAAAACAAAACTCCTCTCACATACTTGCCTCAAACACTATAAAATTACTTCTGAAAAGCTAAACCAAATGCACCCTAAATCCATTATTGCATAGCTGCACTATGATGAGCTAGACTTAATGGGCTGAGGCTAATTAGAAGTTGTCTATATTGGACTACCATCTCTGAATCTGTTTCTGAAATTGCTGGCCTGAAACCCTTCACATTTGTTATTATTGGCTACTGACGTGAACAAATATCATCAAGTTGTTAAAAGAACTGGGATGCCACTGTAGTCAATTTATTCATACAAGAGTCAGCTCAGAAACTATCTCCTCTTCTTTTTCTTTTATTTTCCAGAGATTCTTCTTTAAGCTGAGGCCCAAGAGGCAGTAAACCGTACTCTTTCGCAATGCACACGGCATAACCAAGTCTAGTAACTATGATCATGTCAAAAATAGGTGACAAGATTAGGTAAAAGCATTTTTGAAACTAAAGCATCAATGACAAAAGTATCTTTATCATTAGGACTCATGCGTAGTTATTTCCAACCCACCCACACATAAGATCAGAAGATTCAGGTCAGCATCTTTATAACTTTGCCCACATAAATCAAAATCCAATTATACTCCCCCAAAGTAATATGTAATGATAAACTGTTCCAAACTCTATGGCCATGAGTCCTAAAAGAACTCAACACATCATATCCCCTAACATTGGGGAAAAAGAAAGATCAGATTCCACTTACTCTTTCGATCATTCATTTCAAAGGTAACCATTTTGCCGATGATTCAGGTGTAAAAATGCTTCTCCTTCGCTGAAACACAACAATGGAATAAAAATCAGCTAAAACATGAATGAGTTAATATTCAGCTCGGGAAGTTAATCAAATATCATTGAGCATATAACCACAAGAGAGAATCTCGATCCAGAATCACCCACGGAAAAACCAGCCATACAGTTATAAAAAAGAAAATGTAAATATTCTGACTGAACAAAGTCAATCTTTTAACTCAATATTCACAAACGGAAAAATGATGCAATCCTGTCATTCACGCACAGAGAGAGACATTGAACATGAAAAACAAATCATATAAGGACTATTCTCTACAGTGAGTGCATTCTGCACACACGCCCACATTGAACATGACAAACAAATCATATATGGATCATTCTCTAGAGTTAGTGCATACTGTAAGTATCAGGTTTTTCAACATTTTGGAATGGCATTAAAAACTCGTAATTGTTCCAACCAAAAAAAAAAATCGTAATTAGAATATCTACAATTTTACAGGATTTAAACCCCATAATTATGAACCTAGAATGAACATAAACATGTAAAGTCTGATAATGCCCCATATTGAAAGCAAATATTCATATGCAAATTTAAAAATGGTAATCCTACGATTCAAGCTTGCAACCTTAGGAAACCAATCCAGGGTTCAAAGGTTGATAGCTATTTCCCTTTACTTCCCTCCCTTATTCCTCAAGAACATACGCAATCCTAGAAATTACGAATTAATTCTTGTAAATTAATACAGTACAAAACAATAGATCTACCAGTGTTGATCAAACTACTGTGCTCACATATAGTGTTCTCAAAGAGTTCTATAAGCTACTTTATAAATAGAATAAACAGAAATAAACAAATCTTATAAAATGAAATGTCCAAAAACCAGTTGAACAATATATCCCATGGGAGAAAGTGCCCCGATCACAATTACCAACAACTGAAACCAGTATTGAAGAGTTAAGCCAAGGTGAAGGTAACTAAGCCGTTTGGATCTTAAATCTTAGTTTCTGCCCCAAAAGGAATACGATCCATACGCCCCGGGGGGGGGGGGGAGCACATAATCAAGATTCACATAGAGAAAGAGACTAATAAAGCAATAGAGCGAGAGCTCACCTGTGGCCGTAGAGTCACCGAACTACAGTACGGATCGTCACCGGAAGGTGGTCCTAGTCAAGACGAGAACGCTGGGGTTCGGATTCGCAAACGATAACAGCTATACGAGAGAGAGAAGAAGTGGGGCGCGTGGCGACGACGTGCTTGTGGTTTGCTAGTTTGTTCGCGGTTCGTTGGTTATTTATGCGGATTTTTCCTTTTTATTCAAATGATTTTTAATTTTAATAACAAATAAAAATGCCGTTATGATGTTGTTCGGCCAATAGAAGAACGAGAGCCTTTATAATCCTTCTTACTTGCGTTAGAAGTAAAAGAAACGAATCTCGCACAAATCATACATACCATGCTCAAGGAGAGTTTTTTTTTTTTTTCACCATCATCATTTTTATTTTTGTTTCTTAAAATTTAATTTCGAGTAAAATTATTGATTTTAAATTTTAGAAATCAAAACCAAAATGAAAAATAATATTAGCCCTTTATTATTCTTTTTGGACAAAATATTATTAATTCAAGTAAAACTGTTTTTTTGGGCCAGAACTCAAGGCAAGCATTATCCAACTCAAATTAAGGAGGATAGCGTGGGCAAACGGGCTTGGATAAGCCCAAAGTTAAGAGTTTAGATAGCAAAATAGTCTCTTAATATATGATTATGGATACCAACAGTGGTTGGGTCTAATAGAAAGAGCTAGTTCCTCACAATGTGGTGAACCAAAATTTGAATCCTTGTAGGGAAAGATGCCTATATTTAGTGCCCAACAGTGCCTCGAATAAGATTGTCTCTAATAAGAAGATACCTATGCTTGAACAAAAAAATATATATATGATTATGGGTTGTCAATAAGATTTGGTCCAGTTGATATAAACCCATATGACCCAACTCACCTAAACTTTCCTTTTTTCTAATGTTTGAAAATTGGGCCAGGCGTCAAGCTAAAAAGTTTAGTAGATTATAATTGAAATGATTAGACCTGTTGGGTTGTTCAGTCGAACAGGTGATGTAATAATCAAATAAAATTAATATTATGTACATAATAATATAAATATAACATACATGATGAAGAATAAAAAATAATATTAAAAAGAACAAGATAATGTTAGAGTAATAACATAATTTAGAAATAATATATATATATAAATATAAATATATTATATGGACGGAAGCAACCAATGCCTGAATCTGATAATAGGCCCAAACTCTAGCAAGTTGTTACAAGACAACCCAAAGCATTCATCCCTCGCTACGCCAGCCATTCCACCTCCACGGATGACTTCTCTGCAAGCTCCAGCACATTGGGCAAAGAAATCATCCCACAAATATACTACATCTGGTTTTTAATATAAGAGTTTATTTGATTTTTATTTTGATTCTCAATATAAAAACCTGATCCACTTTGTTTCTCATATTTATCTATTTTTTTGAGGTAATGTAGTTCTAGCCAATACATTTGATTAGCAAAGATAATTTAGAAAAGATAACACATATTTATTACAAATAACTAACTTAACTAGTTTTTTTAATCTATTCAAATTAGTCAACCAACTCTTATATTACCTCCGGTCCTTAATATAAGGTTCGCTTGACTTTTATTTTGATCCTAAATATAAGAACTCAATCCACTTTATCTCTCATATTTATATGGTTTTTTCCAAGATAGTCCTTCTAATAATGATAGTTCTAACAAATACACTTCATTAGCAAGGATATTTTAGTAAAGACCATAACTATTTATTACACGTAACTAACTTAACTTATTTCCTTAATCTATTCAAATTAGTCAATTAGCTTTTGTATTTAGAACCAGAAATAGTATTTGCTCGCATGCTTTCAAAAGATAATATTAGTACAAGGTATAGTACAAGGTATCGAGGGAACCCAATGTCTTGTGACTTCTTGAAGGACCCATGGCTAATGGGTCCACATTTGTTTCATCATGTTTGCACTCATGGAGATGTTGAAGCAAATTAGTCAACCAACTTTTATAGTAAACACCAGAGTTAGTATTTGTTGGTATGTTTCCAAAAGATAATGTCAATACAAGGTGTTGAGGGAACCCAATGTCATGTGACTTCCTAATGGACCCACGGCTAATAGGTCCACATTTGTTTCATCATGTTTGCACACATGGAGATGTTGAAGCAAATTAGTCAATCAATTCTTATAATAAATACCGAAGGTAGTATTTGTTGAAATGTTTCCAAAAGATAATGTCAGTACAAGGTGTTGAGGGAACTCAATGTCTTGTGACTTCTTGATGCACCCATGGCTAATGGGTCCACATTTGTTTCATCATGTTTGCATGTATGGAGATGTTGAAGCAAATTAGTCAGCCAACTCTTATAATAAACACCGGCGGTAGTATTTGCTGGCATATTTCCAAAAGATAATGTTAGTACAAGGTATCAAGGAAACCCAATGTCTTGTGACTTCATGGTCCACATTTGTTTCATCACGATTGCACTCATGGAGATGTTGAAGTAGGCCTCGCGAATCATATGCGGGGGATTGAAAAATAAAGCCGCTTGTAAGTAGAGCATGAAGCCAAAACACAGTTGATGAGATTTGCACACTAGAACCATAACAACTGCTACAAAATATAAACCAACTACTTGTCACCTGAAAAAAAGGTACTCTTCCGATCCTTAATATAAGACCCATTTAACTAATTTGATTAGATTAAGGAAGTTAGGTAAATTAGTTAATTATAAGAAAAATGACACATTTTTCCTAAAACACCATAATCATCTTTCTTAATACCTCATCTTCCTCTTCTACTTGACTATGGTTGAGGGGATATCCATAGAGGTAATTTAGAGAAAATTGATAAATATGAGAAATGGGTCTTATATTTAAAATCAAAACCAACTCAAGAATTGGGTTCTATATTAAGGACCGGAGGAGTACTATAAACCAACTACTAGTAGAACAAAAACAAAACAGTAGTAAACTAACGACAGAGAAACTAGATTTAACAATTAGTAAATAGATCTCTAATTGCAACATCGCTACTCATTCTGTAGTAATCATTATACTGGTGCATCATTCCTCACCATCAACGCAAGCCTTTTTGCAATAGGCAGCTTGTAGAACCGTGATGTGAGAATTACTCCCCTCGATCCCCTATATAAAGTACTTCTAGAAGAATAAATTAGTCCAAAATATAAATCACTTGAAGAATAAGTAATGCTTATTTGTTAATTTTTTTCCCTATAATTAATGTGTAAATGTAACTTCGTGTATTTTTCTCTCTTCTTCACACCCTCTTTTAATATGGGTAAAGTGAAAAAAAACTTATTTGAGATACATTTAATAAGTTAACTACTATTTCTTAGTTCTGATGAATTAGTTAAAGTGACATCCCAATAGCATCAAACTAAGTGTGAGTTCGTCTGCAGCTAATGCTTCCAGTAACCTAACCATCTCCCCATGCCGTGCGAGCAAGAAACACACCAAAAGCAACATGGGGCAGTCAGATCTCTAATGCATCATAGCTCTAATTAATTTGAATCTGAGATCGTACTCTTCCAATCTTTAATATAGTATTCCTCCCGTCCTAAATATAAAACCTTTTTTGTGGTGTAATTTACACCACAAAAGAGATCTTATATTTAGAATCGGAGGAGTATCTAATTGGAAAGTTAATGCTAGTTCTATATATAAGACCCGTTTCATATGTTTATCATTTTTTCTCTTTATAAATTTATTCTATTGATATTTTCCCAACAATAATCAAGTAAAAGATAAAGGAATGAAAGTAAAGAAGATGTATAAGATGTTTTAGAAAACACATATTACATTAACTAATTTAACTAATATTTTTAATCTATTTAAATTAGTTAATTAATTAGGTTTTATATTAAGAACATGATAAATACAATGCTTCGCTGAGCAAAGATTGATGGCCTTCTCTTCCTATAAGTAGTTGAAGCTGCCATACATGTTGAGGCCTTACCTCTGAAGGATTGGAGGTCATCATTGACCTACACCGACTGTTGAAGGAAATGAAGAACCTGGCATGCTAATAGAAGGAAGAAAGGGTATCACGGCAACCAGGCTGAGCTTCCTCAAGCTTACAATGGCGAATGGAGTGATTCCCAAAAGTTTCGTTATACTTTAATTTATTCATATTATTATATACATGAACAAGGGTGATTTTATCTAGAAACTAGAAATTTATTATCATAGATGTGACTCATCAACATGATTGATATCTTGGTAAAAAAAAAATTGTGATTGTGAAGATAAGGCAAATAAAGATCTTCTCAATCTATCAACACAAAACAAGATAATCATTGGATAATGATATTACTCATTTTATTTTACAAGAGTAAATGTGAGTTTAAATTATAATAAAATACAATAGTCTTATTAATAGATAATTCATGGATATTTTATAATTTTCAAATCTTTTTTTTTAATTAAGCCTTTAACTTATAATTTTGTAGTATCTTTCATGTTTTTTTTTTAATTGTGAGCATGCCTAATAAAATTTCAACTCCAGCTCAAGTTAATTCCTTTGTTTCCTTTTCGTTTTTGGTCAAAAATAATTTTTTGGGAAGACTGTTTTAAAACACTAATAAAAATTTATTGCTTAAGGATCTCTACATTTAAAATCTAAAATTTATTTAACAATTTAAAAGCAATCTATTTTCAGCAGGCGCAACTTATTTTTCACAACTCATTTTTAATTATATGTAAAAAAAATATTTTCACATAACTGAAAATATATTAATATGTTATACTTTTTTAGCGAATAAACTAAAGATAATAAATTTTATGAGATTTTTCAGCAAATTTTTTTTTCCCCTTTTATTTTAGATTTGGGGGGGGGAGTCACCGATAATTTGGCCCCTTGGCAGACGAAGGAGGTACGGTCAAGGGTTTTTCCATTAAAAAATGAGCAGAGGTCGTGACTAAACGGGGTCGTTTGGTGTTCGGCTACGCCGCCCCCAAGAAACCCGGTAAGCGAGACGGAAAAACATTGAATTTCGTACCTCATCTAGTTTGGACCCGAACCCAGGATACCACGCCCCTCTCTCTCTCTTCTCCCTTCCACTTCCCTTTCCCCCTCCCTCTCCTCTTGTCTCTCGCACTGCGAAACCCTAGCGAGGGCGTTCCCTCTTATTTATCTCTTC